AGAGATGATGATGTTGGATGTTATATCACAGGAAGGAGCTAATCCATACAGTAATCCCCCCTTATCCGTGGGGTATACGTTCCAAGATCCCCAGTGGATGCCTGAATAGTACTGAACCCCATATATACTATGTTTTTTCCTATACAAACACACCTAAGATAAATTTTAATTTACAAATTAGGTACAGTAAGAGATTAACAACAATAACTAAATATAATGCAACAATTATAACATACTATAATAAAAGTTATGTGAATGTGATCTCTTTCTCAAAATATCTTATTGTACCGTACTCACCCTTCTTCTTGTGATGATATGAGATAATACCATGCCTACGTGATAAGACGAAGTGAGGTGAATGAGGTAGGCATTGTGACGTAGCGTTATTTTCAGACCGCGATTGATTGCGGGTAACTGAAACCATGCAAAGTGAAACCACAGATAAGGGGGAACTACTGTATCATAACTAGTTAGAGCTTAGAGCCAGTTAATTAACAAACTACTATTCTCTAATATGTATGGCATTTTATGAATGCAGATTCAGTGATAATGAAGCAAAGCAGGGTGAAGACTACACCTTGGTCATGATACACACAGGAACTCAGGCTCCCAGGAGACATATGGGCTGAGAACAGGAACCAAGCACCAAGGTCATCAAGAATCAGCTGTCTTGAGTTGTCAGCGCAGGAACCGGGCTCTAAGGTATATTTTGACTGAAGAGGGGAATGGAGGTGGAGGGTGGTGAGACACAGCCTGAGCAGTAGCCAGGGGGTCAGGAAGCCCTTTAAGGCTTGGGGCATCCTATGCAGGACTCTGTGGTCAGGAAGGACCCAGTCTCTCTCTGGATGAATAAGGTACAACCTGGAGTTTTCTAACAACAAGGTGATACCAATCCATGCACAGTCTTGGCATTACTCAAAATCCACATGTTTTAATAGAAATATAACGTAAAACAGATCTGAAATTTAACATTTTCTAGTAGCTGTATTTAAAAAAGTAAAAAGAAACAGGGGAAATTAATTTTAATAATATATTTTATTTAACCAGTATATACAAAATATTATCATTTCACCATGTGACTCTAGGCACATTTCAAGTACTCAAAAGTCATGTGTGGCTAGCGGCCACCAAACTGGACGTTACAACTCTAAACCATGCTAAAGTCAGGAGAACAAAAGATTTAATAACTACCTTGTATTTTCAAGGTCACTGAAGGCTTTTGTTACTGTTAACATCTCAAATGATAGTTTCTAGCATTACAGTTTAAAGTCTTAAATAACAATGTCTTACAGTCTAGGTTTGAGTCTAGACTCTACCCATTACTAACAGTGATCTTGATAAAGTTACTTCATCTTTAAGTTTTCTCATCTGTCAAAATGAGCAAATATCCTCCTAAAAAACTATTTTGAGAGTTAAATAACTGGGTCCCTAGGCAGAACTTACCAAAGAGCTGCTCCTTTCGCTTCTCCATTACTGCAGACATTACGTCTTTTATTGCTTTCTCCCGGAGGAAATGTTTAGTGTCCAAGTCTCACCTCTGGTGACTTTAATTCTTCCCCCACCACAACTCTGCAACCTCTAATATCCACACTTATCACACTCCGACATGTGAGATGCACCAACTCTGACTTTTTCCTTTTCCTCTTTATTCTTCTATAAGCTCAATGTATTATTCAATAGGCCTGCTTCTCTGGTTTGGTGACAATTTTTTTTTCCTGTTCCTTATTGGTTCCCAACACAAGTAATGGCACCTGAGCAACAGCTGAGCCCCTGAGCTCTGTGTTCAGATACAGAACCCCAAGTAAATAAGTTTCTGTCCCTCATGAAATCTGTCTGTAATTACCACCTTGAACTCTACAGTCTGCAGAACCCTCCAGTCTACTGATTTCCAGACCCAGATCCTACAGTCCTCGGACCTAGAAGAGGGAGCAGGTCTATAAGTTGACTAAGAATTGCCATGTGCACAGAGCATAATAAAACTGTATCCTACACTATCCCTGATCTTTCTTCCATAAAGTGCCATCACAGACAATATAGCACATTGCTATCTATTGTGTTAACCTTTAACGGTTTTACACAGGAGCAAATTGTTTCTGCAACTAGATGATAAGCAACCCGAAGGCAGAGAGCAGACTTCTTATGAAGGGTAAACCTCCCATGGTCATTGTATTCACCCCTGTATCTCCCACAGTGTTGTACACACAGCAGGGGCTCAAGTAATATCTCTATCATTGCCTAATTACACATGGAAGTTTTCTAGCCTGTACAAATTTGTTTGTAGGAACATAGGAATCCAGGCGCACGGACCAAATGTCTGTGGTTTCTGAGCAGAACCTATCAAATTCTGCAGCATGCAGCATTCTCCTGGCCTCCTACTACCACCTTAGAAGTAACCAACTGTCCTATTTCCAGGCCTGCAGGGACACTTCTGTATGGTTGAGTCAGCACAGGAAGAGCTCTACAACCACTCACAACCCCTCACAGCCCAATCTTCCTTCCACAGATGATTTTCCTAGGGGTGCAGGGCCAGCCCAAGATCATACGGCTAAATCACGGCCAGCCTAGACCCCAGATTTCCTGCTGCCTGGCATAGCGCCCTTTCCGTGACACACGGTCTCCTTCAGTCTTGGAGACTGAAAACCAAGATCCCAAGTGGTACTTCTCCAAATACAGAATCTAAATATTATAACCGACGCGGGGTGGACGGGAGAGACGAAGACGAGAGCAGGTGAACGACCTTATTCTTCCTTCTTTCAAAATTCAACCCACTGCATCACGCACCTGCTCCCCTTGAGAGAGCCCCGGCTAGGGGTCAGGTTGGGCTCCGCTAGACCTGCAGTGCCGTGCCCGGAGAGGCAGAAAGCGGTAGGGTCTCGCACACACACCCGTTGCTTACCACGATCACCACTTTGGGAGTGGGGCCCTTAACCTCCCGCTGTACGATGCCAAACCGCTGGCTGTACATTTTCGAGTCCCCTCGGGATGGGGGCGGCGTCCGCCGCGGTTCTCCAACCGTGGCGACCTACGGAACCAGTTTCCGCAACACAGAGATCTGGTTGCCATGGTGCACGTCTCGGAGTGAGGAGTAGGTGGGTGAGGCGGAAACTGGTCCCGTCACCATGGTGACCAGACGCCGGCACTCGCGACTTCCTCCCGGAGCCGAGGAGCTGAGTCTGCGCAGTCCTCACCCCGCCCTTGGCCAGGCCTCCGGCCAACCTTGCTCCCTTCCTTTACGAATCGTAAGAACAGCAGAAAAAAGCCTCCTTTACCCGAAGTGAAAGCGAAGATATAATATACTCCAATTGACTTTGCTATTTATATCCTGTAATCGGTCTAAAAGCATGAGAAAGGTTAGTGGACATTTTGTGGGGAGGTTAAATTTTGTGGCCATCTCTATGATGACGGTAGTAATCATCACAGGACAACCTTATATTTGTGTAGTTCTTTACAGTAATTTGCAAGGTATTTTCACACATAAAACTTTTGACCCTCACAATATCTCTAACCAGTAATGATACGTCTGTTATTAATCATCCTACTACACTGGGCAGAAACCAGGGCTTAGACTCAGGGTACCCTGGGATGGGGGTGCTGATCAGATAGGCCAGTAGTGCAGTGACACAACCTGGCTGGGTAAAATAAGACCAAGAGTCTGAGTCAAGGGTCACAGTGGACCAGGATCAGGACATGGGATGAGAAGGGTAGGTAATCAGGCCCTGAGAATCCAGATCCCAGGCAGGGGAACAGGCAACACAGATCAGGGACCCTAGAAGGGGCCCTCAGCACAGGTGGAGACCACAGCTGTACTTCCAGTTAAGAGCTAGGTGGTAGTTAATACCTAAAAGCCAATTAAGAATGACACTTTGGTACTCTCCTTCTCAAGCCGGGTTGAGCATACAGCACTAGAGCAGAGGAAAAAAACAGTACCTAGTCAGTCACTGACGTGTAGTAATAACCAAAGTACAACTATGTATCCCGTCTTAAGGCCGCAATTTACTGTAAATTAGCATTCCTTAATCATTTGTGATCCACCCACTTCAGATTTTGTATGTGGTACGTTTCTAGATTTGGATTCCAATTCCTGAATTGCTGGTTCAGCTTTTCAGCCACAAAATAATGTCTCTCTTCTCTTTTAATAATCTCGTTTAATAATTATTTTGTCTTTTTTCTCCTATAATGCTTCTTCTTTCAATTGCAGTTCGGTAAAATACTCATTTTCATTTACTGCTAAGAGTTTACGTAGCCTGAAACAAACAAAAAAGACAGAAATTAGACGGTCGGCTCGGTTCCCTGGACAGAGTCCTGAGGGCCAGTTCCTTGATCTTCGCGTCCCACGGGGACCTCGCCCGCCGGCTGGCCTGGGAGGAACCGCCCCTCACATCACACCCCTGGGGAAGATGGGAGGCAGTGAAAACGCCCTAAGCCCGCCGCGCGGTTTGGGCGAAGCCGCTGAGATTCAGGGAACCGGATCAGGAACCCCCAAGATCGTACTGCCCGGAGGGCCCCGTCGAAGTTTTCGGCGCGTGGGAAGCCGACTCTTGGCGACACCCGGCTGCCCTCGAACGTCCAATCGTCGGTCCCGAGCTCGTCGTGCCGCCACCTCACCCCGGGTGAGCCTGACATTTTAACTCTGGTTGGGTTTTGCCTGTTTTACCACTACGTGAGGGGGACTCGGCTTCCCTCTGGGCTGGCCCAAGGAAACGTCGGCGGGCGGAGGCCACGCCCCAGGGCCGCCGTCTCTGAGCTCCGGTGGGATGACCGCGGTCCCGGCGCCCCCTGGCGGGCCTATTCGAGCTGGGAGGGGCCGACCCGCCGCCCGCCGCGGTAAGCCTTGGCCTTTAGCCAAATCCCTGCGGAGGCCTAGAGGAGAGATTCACCCAAGGCCCTTGGATGGAACCTGACCTTGATCTTGCCACCCACTATCCCAGTTTCTCAGAGGCCGTTAACACTGTTACCACCATCAAGACACTCCCAAAAGAAACACTAAGTATACGAATCAGTAAATAGGACAATATAAATCATTTAAAAATAACTTTAAAATACAACAGCTTAGACATAGAAACCATATTATTTCCAATTCCTATTGTGCCCCAACAAGGTTCAAGCAAGGGCTGTCCTCCTGATAGTTTCCTGAATTCTCTATTTTCACCACTAAATTCCATGATAAAGTTGGAAATCCATTCACCATTTGTAATACATATTGATGCATTTAATAAAATTGTATGGACTATATCTTTCTCATTCCTGTATCCTAGTATTAAGTACAGTGCCTACCATGGGCTGGGTTCTCAATACTTGAATGACACAAAAATAGCCGAGACCAGCAAGTTTTTTCTGGGTGGGCTTGAGAGAATTTCTGTACTTGCTGGGGTCACCATGAAATCCATGGTCTTCAGCTTTGCATTTTCAGCAACGTAGCTTTATCAAGTTATCCTCAGGTGAGCAGTGAGACCCTTGGGAGCTGATTCATGGCAGGGTGGCTTTGTAACGTGTCACCTTGACTAGGCTATGTTTCCCAGAACTCCCTTCCCTGTATGCTTCCAGTTAGGATGGGCCACCAGAGACATTCTGCGTGATAATTGGAGGGCAGAAGTGAAGCAGCAGCATACTGTTTTTACACTTGAAAGGCTGGTGCAGGGGCACCAGGCGCTGTTGCAGTTCACACATGTTGTCATATATCTGCTGGCTCACCTCGTTGGTGTGGGGCAGCAGGCAGGCCTGCAGCCAGGCCTGCAGCTGCTCCACCTTCCCCGGAATCTTCCTTCAGCTTCTCTAATTCCCGGGCCAGACGCATATTTAACTCTGTGATGAAGGGCACCAGCTTCTTCTGCAGGACACCCACATCATCGAAGTTGGAGGTGGTGAGAGACTGACATGGGTTCCAGGCCATCCTCGTGGGTTCCAGCTCGTGCTCGTGGGCGCCAATATGTCCTTGGTCTCCCACACTTTATGTCCATCTTCCCTTCCCGATTGCCTGCCCTGCAGACTTCAAGCTCCAGCATTAGATGCAAAGATAACAGCCTCACAGAGCCTGTTTAACCAGCTCCCACAACTGCCTAAGGTCAAATCCCTATAATAAATCCCTTAATATATATATGTGTGTGTGTGTGTATATATATATATAAAATCTTTATATTAGCAGTGCTGCTTTTCTGACTGAACCATGGTAAACATGGTAACCAGACTCTCATCTCATGAGTCAGAATGCCAATCAAATAAATTTCACTTTTAGGACATCACTTTCAAAATTACCAGAATACTAGGGTTGGGTGTTTGGATCCTGGGGGGAGCAAAACAATACCAGAAAATGATCCAGTCTTGACTCTGGCTGAAGTAGGTCGGGGGAGGCAAAGGAAGATGCAGAGGAGGGTGGCAGAGGGCTGTATCATGAGTCACAGCAGGGAAATGGCTAATCTACATCTGAATTATCTAAAGCTGCAGGGCTGGGACTGGAGTAAGTCAAGAGAAGTACATAGGCTACAGAATTTAAGGAGGCAAGCACTCAGTCTCAGCCATGTAAGCTGGCTAAGCAAAGAATCACAATCTAATCTTTTTGGCACTTTACGAAAAATGGACAGTGAGGCAGGGCTGAGCCAAGACTGGCCCTTAGGCAAGATTCGAAGCGGGAACTCAGACTCCTACTAGATGGGCTGAGAGAAGAAACCAGGCACAAAGGTTATCAAGGGGCAGGGGATGCAAGTTGTCAGTGAAGATGAGCCAGGCTGGCAGCTTTACTTCTGAAGACTGTTTTTCCTGAAGAGGGGGAGGGAGGGTAACAAGCAAAATGGACAGCAGCCAGTGGGGAAGGATGCCATTCAGGGTTTGAAGAATCCTACACAGCACCCAAGGCCTGGGAATAACCCAGTCTCTGGATGCATGGATGCTCTGACAAGGTGGCCCACAGCCATGGCACTCCCTAAACCTCACTAGAGGCAGCAGTGTAAGGGATTTGTTAAAAATGCTTAGAGTAATCCACCTTGTTTTCAAGGTCATGGGAAACTTGTTATTATTACATGTTATTGAATATAGGATTACAGTTTACAGTTTAGTGGCTTAAAAAACACGGCTTTTATAACCTGGGTTTGACTCTAGGCTCTATCAATACTAGCTGTTTTACACTAGACAAGTTATTTAATTTCTCTGAGTCTCAGTTTTCCCATCTGTAAAAATGGGCAAAATCAACGTCTTCATAAAAAGACTGTTTTGAGGATTAAATACATTAGGTCCATAGGAGGAACTCACCAAATAGCAGTTCCTTTCCTCATTTATTAACATTACATTTTCAATTGCTGTCTCCCTGAGAAAATGTTTAGAGATACTGCCAGGTCTCATCCAGAAGCCATTTAAAATCATTTATGAAGGTGGCTTGTTCACGCTGTTTTGTAGTGGCTTTAATTATATCCCATCCTCCACCCCAGCTCCCCCATCCTTAATATTCACACTTCTTGTCACACTCAGGGTCCTGGGATTTGCACCAGTTGGAGCAGATGCACCAACTTTCTAGTCTTTCTTCCTTTTCTGCTTACTTCCTCTATAAGCTCAAAGTACTGAACAGGCCTGCTCCTCTGGTTTGGTGGTAGGTTTTCCAGTTCCTACTGACTCCTACATAAGCCCCCCGATCTATGGTCCAGCCTCTGAGTAGATCAGTGTTGTCTCTCATAAAGTCGGTCTGTAAATATCACCTTGAATCCTACAGTCTGCAGAAGCCTCCAGTCTACTGCTTTCTAGCTCCACGTTTTTTAAGGTCCTTGGACCTAGAGGAGAGGGAGCAGGTCTGTATGTTGAATGAAGTTCACTGTGTGCCAAATGGAGCATCACAAAACCATTGCCTACTATTCTGTGTCCACAATCTATTTCCCCTTTATTATCCCTTCTCTCTCTTCTAAAATCTTCCATTACAAACAACGTAGCACGTCATTACCTCCTCTGTTAGTATGTAATGATTTCATGCGTAGAGACATTGTTTCCCCAGTTAGATTATAAGCTCCATGAAGGCAGGAATCCTTTGTGTCCCGAAGGATAAGCCTTCCAGGGTCATTGTATTCACTGCTGTTATCTCCCACACTGCAGTGTACCCAGCAGAGACTCAGTCAGCACCTCTGTAACTGCCCAAGTGCAGATGGAGGAGTTTCTGGCTTGCAGAAACTAGTTTGTAGGAATAAATGAATCCAGGTGCTTAGGCCAACAGTTTACGCTGCCTGTGTCTGTAGCTCTGTGCAGGGCCTGTCAACATTCTGCAGCAAGCAGCATTTCCCTGTCCTCCTCCCACCATCCCAGTCCTTGTAGGCACCTATCCTTTGTCCTATTGCCAGGCCTGCAGGGACAGTGCTGTACATCAGCTGAAACTGTTAATAACCTCAACAGACTCAGGAAAGGCTCAAGAAACACAGCCTAACCCCCTCCACAGAGGATACTCCAGGAGGTGCAAGACTAGCCCAAGTTCACAGATCCAGGTCTCCTGCCCATCTACCACTGCCCAGCCCACCTTGTCATCTCTTGGAGACTCCAAAGTCCTTCAAGACCCCAAATGATGATTCTCTGAATAAAAATTTATATATTAAGTCTGATCCCTGCTGGATTTTCTTAGGGAGATGGGGACCAGGCTTTCCTTATCTTCCTTTTTCTTTCAAATCTCATCACAGGGCACCAAGTCCTCTCCCCCACCATATCCCCAAGGAGAGCCCTGCCCTGGACCTCAGGAGAAATCTCTAGGGTCCTACACATATCCCCTCACTGATGATGATTGGTGCAGTGGTATGGGGCCTTTACTTCCCACTGCACCCTACCAAATTGCTGGCTGTACTTTCAAAACTCAGGGCCCACATCTGACCGGCACCCACCCCATCCCCACCTCTCACTGTGCGGGGCACACCTTGGCAACCAGACTGCTGTGTCCCGAAGGCGGGTTCCACCCAGGCTGAAAATCTCCGTGATCTGGGAAAGAATTAATATCATGGGTCAACGTGGTCGGTGGAGCTAAAGCAGGGTCAGGGCAGGGTGAGGTGTCCCCCAGCACTGACCACGGGTGTGCCAGCCCCTCCTGCCTCCTCCTCTGGGGCCGAGTCAGAGGCGGAGTCATCCTTGCTCTCCTTTCCCTTGTCCTCCTCAGGGTCGGGTGGCTCCTGCTTCACAGGTGGCAGGCCTGGGTCTACTGCCTGAGAGAGGTGGGAAACGGGCAGCAGTCAGAAGGACAGGGTTGGCCTGAGGAAAGAGTCTCTATCAGCCAATCTGGCACTGTGCTGACAAATCCCAGTCACACTTCAGCACAGAAAAACTAGCTCTCTGCCTACAAACTTTTCTCATTCCTCACAGATTTCCATTTTTCTGTTAGCTGGGCAGCAAAGCAAGCAAAGCTGGTTGCCTGGGGAGGATGGGGCATCTGTCAGACAGGCAGGGTAATTCTGTGGAGAGGTTGCAATCAGCACACCTATTGCTCTCTTCAAAAACCACTGTCATGACCACTCATCACTGACCCCCACCTTGCTGGGGCAGCCAGGCAGCAATACAGGAGAAGTCAGGACGGCTGTGCCCGGTGTCCAGTCTTCCTGGGCATCCGCCTTCTCTTGCTTCACCTGGGGTAAGGCCACAACCCAACTCAGGCCAGGGCACTGGGCCTCCTGCGTGAAGGAGGATTGCAGCAGACTTGGTCCCAGCTTCCTGGCATGATGCTGGGTGGGGTTGGGAAAAGCAGGATAAGGTGGGGCCCTCACCTGCAATACGGCTTCTCTGGAAGCTGGGGCAGGGCCAGGCACCTGCACAGGACTGCTTGCACCCTCCCGTAAGAACACAAGGTCGGTGCCAGGTGGGGGCAGTACAAAGCCACTGCCTGCTTCCTGCTTCATTGGAGTCTGGGCACGGTCTGGTCGGGCTGTCGGCGTGGCCAAGGGGGGCTTCAGACGGGGCCGTCGTGTAGAGCTAGGCCTCTTTCGACGAGGGTAAGGTGGGGGCAACCCTGCCCCATCCTCAGACCCTGCCCGGACACTTGGCAGCAGCCGCTTCTGGGAGGAACGATGGAGTGTTATGGCCACCTGGTGCAATGACTGACCACACCACCCCGCCCTGATCAACGTGCCTGCTAATCCCTCATCAGTCGCAGCACAGAATCTGCTTACATATGAGCCCCTCAACACTGAGCCTGCTTGCCTCCTGCTAGCAATGCCAGAACCACCCAGATTCCTCATTTACCCCAGCACAATGTCTGCTCATCCTTGGCCAAACCCATTGCTTTTGCCCATCGCTCTGAAGTTGTAGGACCCATCTGACCTGCCCAACCCACCACCCCCAGGTACTGGGGGCCCTGGCCCAACTTACCCTGCCCACCTGACCCTGCCCCACTCACCATGGCAAACTGCAGGCACTGGCGCCAACGACACTTCTGGCGCTTCTGATTGCTGCCCCCAAATTTGGGCTTGTCACAGCAGAAGTCGCAGTGGCCACAGTCCATCCGCCGCAGGCAGGCTGCACAGGCCCCACACTTGCGGTTTTGCCGGCGATTCGTGTAAGGCTGCTGGAGGACAGGAGAAATGCAGGTTACAGTCACTAGGACTATTACAGTGCTGTTCCTGTTGCTCCTCTACTAGCCCCATCACAGGGCACTGGGTTGCACACTGGTCTTAACCTGACTCCCCACTAGTCACACCTCAGTGTCTGCTAGTCCAACATCAGGCACTATCACTGTACCGGATGACCCTCGATACCACTAGGATTGTGGCTGCTCCAACACACTATCTATCACTCTACCTACCAGTCCTCCAACAGCTACCAATACAATGTCTTTGATCCCCGCTTCCAGCAGGATTTTGCTGACCCTCTCTTAGCTCCCATCAGTGTGCCTATACGTCTGCACAGCCTACGTGAACTCTGGTCGCTGTGCCAGTTCTCCCTCTATTTGCCCCACGAGAGTGCTGGACCATCTGACATCAGGTACTGTCACTGCACCTGGTGATCCCATATTAGTTGCTCCCCCATTGTCTGCCCATCCCATACTTGTACCCATTACTGTGCCTTGCTGGTCCCTTTTAGGCCCATTGCAAGATCTGCGTCTTTAGAGTTAACCAAGTGCCCTGGGAAAGTCTAGGCTTGTCCAGGTAGGGTGGGGCCACTCACTAGCTCGTCCTCGTCTACACAGTAATAGATGAACTCGGCAGGTGGCGAGGGGACCAGGGCTCTGGGGTGCTGCAGAGGCAAATGGGGTGGGGTCAGGGCAGGTACTGGGTGAAGCTAGGGTTGTGCCTTCCCCCTGCCCACCAGGGCCTCACCAGCTCTGGGGATTCTTGAGGCTGAGATGGGGGAGGTGGAGGCAGTGGCTGGGTTTGGGGACGCCGTTTGGCAGCCATCTTGGAGTCGCAGCCTCCCCTGCGGCGGCCATGTTTACCCTGGGAGAAAGCCAAAAGGGTAGTTTGGGCTTGGTGGCACTGGGCAAACACAAGACCCCGCCCTGTGCAAGAAGCATGCGTTGGACAGGCAGGCGGGAGTGGGGGGGTGGGGCACTCACAGCAGGGGGAGCCACAGCTAGGGGAGGGCGTCGTTGACATCGCTGATGGTGGCAACGGAGGCGATGGGCAAGGTGCTGGCAGACAGGGGCAGGTAGATGGGGCCAGGGAGGTGAGCGTAGGGTGGGAAAGAAAGGAAGACATGAGGTGGGCAAGGCCAGGTTGGGAGGAAGCAGCAGCAGCAGCAACTTCAACAGCAGAATGAGCTCTGCCCCAGCCCTGGCCCCTCCAGCCTGACTCACCCGTAGGCAGCGCCGCTGGATGCACTTCCACTGGCGCCTGAGACCAGGGCGGGGAGGGCGAAGGCAAACTCGGCAACGGCCACAGTCCTCTCGAGTTTGACAGCCCCGGCACACTCCACATCCTCGGCTCTGTAGGGGGACCAGAGGGGTGATGCATAGGGCCAGGGCTTTGAGGGCCAGGGGCTGGGGTGAGCCTTGGGCCCACCCCACCTGCCCGACTCACCCTTTCCACAATTCGGAGGCACCGTCTCCGCTCACACTTGCAGAACAGCCCCGAGGCCACGTCTTGGGGCAGCTGCAGAAGGCAGGTGGAGCAGGCCCCGCAGTCCTCGGTTACCTGGCAGGCTGCACACTCCCCACAGCCCACTCGCTGCCAGGAATGGGTGGGGCAAGGTCACAGGCCCAGGCAGAGTGGCTCTAGGAGCACTGCCCCTCATGTGTCTGCTGATCCCACATTAGCCTCCATCACCATGTCTCCTAGTCCCCTATTGGCCTCATCACTGTATCTGATAATTACTGATTAGCTGCATCATGGAGGACATCACAACGTCTACTGGTCCTGTTAACCTCATCGCTGTGTCTACTAATTCCCATTACTGTCTGCTGACCATGGCAGCTCCCTACAAAATGACTTTGATACCCTGTGGATCCATCACCATTCCTTCAGACCCTCCATCAACCCCCACCACATCCTGCTCCCACCACACACTTGTGAGGAGGAGGCAGGTAGTGCTTACCTTAAACATCCTCTGCTCCCGGTTGAAGGCAATTCTCTGCGCTGGGGGGAGGGTGAGGGAAGAAGAGAAGTGTAAAGGGAGCATCAGATACCTGACCTCATCCACTGCCTCTGCCCTGACATCCACATTCAACCTCCAGCCTGACACCGGGCTTGCTCCAGCTCCTATCTCCTAGTACCCTAGGGTCCACTCACCTCGGCAGTCCTTGCACAACGTCTTGAGCCGCTGCCTTCGGATACCATCCCCTGAGAAGCTAATTCCACAGTTCTCACAGCACCTGGGATGGGAAACATGGGTGTAGAGCCCTGAGTGCACCCCCAACCACAACCTTCACCCACTTGGCTCACTTTGGGCCAACACTCACTCGGGTGCAGGGAGCGAAGCTGGAGCTGTGTCAGTGTCAGCCTTGGTCTCATCCCCTGGGGCCTCCTTCCTGACCTCACTCTTCTGAGGTCCAACCTGACGTTTCCGAGCCTTGGCTGGCCTTGAAGGCTTCTTCTGCTTCTTGCTGGGGACAGCCAAGGAATGGGCCTAGAGATGAGAGCAAAGGCAAGAAGACTGTAGGTCAGTGGGTGGGTGTTAGGTGGCTCACCCACTCCAGCCTGGGTACCCCGCATTGTGTAGTACCTTGGGGGTTGGATAGCACAGGACGCCTTGTTTGAAGTCGAAGAGGGTGAGGTCACACGCAGGACCCAGGTATCGGGTCAGCTCAACTTTGCTTCGGATCCTGTCTCCTGTAGGGCTGGGGGTGGGCCAGGATGAGTTGATACCCAGCTGAAGCCACCACTACTCCACCCACATAATCCTCCCACTGGGCTGTTGAAGAGGCCTGCAGGCTGGTGGGATACAGGAGGCAGCCTGAGACCAGCCTGGGAGCCCTCATCAGGCCCTAGTACAAATAACCCTGAACAGCAAGAATACAAAAGGTGTATAAATACCAGCATGTACACGAACACTAATAAATAATACAAATGCAAATAAATATGCACATATTTATAACATATGCTACTAACGGTATTCTATATAGGTGAAAATAAACACAAATAGGAACACAAATATATCAAACAGCATGTAAATATGTTAGCATCACATACTAAATATATAAACAAGTAAACTTAAATAAACAAATGTTGAAAAATACACATGTAAATAAATGTACATACACAAATATATGTGTAAACAAATGAATGCAACTACATACAAAATAAAGTATAAATAAGTGGTGTTGGGAGATGATACTCCACAGGTCTCCTGCATTTCTGCATGTCTTGCCAGAGTGGCACTGGTTGTCCTTTGTTATGAACTGTCTTTTCAAGGATGTTTGTAGAGCAAACAGCCTTGGAAGATAAGAGATAGGGTCTCCTTCCACAGTAAATGGAAGGCATCCTTACCGTCCTAACATTATAAAAAATTAGATTCCTTAAACTCAGGGTTCCTTTCCTACAACACAATCTAGTGTATGTGCAGGTGGTAGTTAGCCCTCTTCATGTTACCCTCTGGGAACTGGTGTTAGGGAAACTGGCACAAAACTGATATTCTGGATACTGCTATTGCTGTGAGTAGTAAACTGTCTTTCATCTCTGACCTAGGAGTCTCATATCTCCTACCAGCATCCACAAAACTGTGACATACCCACCTGTTACTTTGCCCTAATTAGGGTAAAATCTCTGATCTTTTACAGTTGTTGATAATTACACTTATAAACTTTGAAAGTTTTATCCAAGTTGCAAATATGAAAATAAATTTACAACTAAATATAAACAAATGTAATTGTATTTATAATTTTACTATATTCCTCCAGGAAAACAGCAACTTAGATATAAAAACAGTCCAGGAAGAGTGTAAAAAACTTAATAAGTATATCACTAATATATCCTTAAACACCTTAAATCTTTAAGCATAAACTGTTGATAAACATGTACGTTTACATATTTATAGTCGATTCTCATTATTCACGGTAGTTACGTTCTATAAAGTCACCTTGAACACTACATTAGTAAATACAAAACAACTGCTCCTAGTGGAACTACAAGTTAGGTTCCTGCAAGCCTCTGGTCACAACACTTTTGTCAAGTGATCAATATGTAACCTTGTTTTATGTGTTTCTGTTTAAAGACACCCTATTTAATATACCCATCTTACAAATAATGAACTGCATGGCCTCTGAATGACTTAAAACCAGGAGCTTTGGAGGCCCTCTGTGTTACATAGGTTCCTTTGCCAATGTCCTTTGACTTAAGAAATTTTATATATTGAAGTATACGGGGAAGCCATTCTGGTTTAAACTTGATCTGGCCTGAATTTTATTTGAACCAGAGAAGCCCCACTTACAGCCTGTCAAAGGTACATTGCACATCTGTTTTAATTATTACCCTAAGGAATGTACTCTTTGAAGATAATGAATAAATGCCTCCCTTCTTATGATGTCAGTATTCTCTGAAGATGAGTCTCCCTTCCCATGACACCAGAGTCATGTTGATCTGCTGTGTATGTGCTCCTTGAACCCTTGAAGGAATGTGTCCGTCATGCTTGATGTATGTATCTTTGTTTTGAAGTGGTATATAACTGTGCCAAAAACCGCTCTTCTCCGGGGCACTTTCTTCACTTTTGAAGGTTGTGACTCCTGGGCTATAATCCTCAATTTTGTCACGAATAAAACTCTTTTCTTTACTTTACTATAGAATGATCATTGATTATCTGCACTGACACTTGGTAAAACAAGCCAGTCTTATCAGCACTGAAAACCTACTCTTCAACATAACTCTTTTCCCGAATAACACTTAGCAGGTATTTTTTAAAATTCTTCTGGAAACTTCATCTGCAGAACCTGCCTTGCACACAAATGTAACATTTTTCATGATGTATCTATCACCTTTTGAAATGAGTGAACCAGCCAGCACTAGCTCAGATAGGTTTAACATTTTCCTAACCCTGGGTAACACGACTGTCAATGTCCTTGGCTTTCAGCCTCACAACACTGTCCATTACACTTTATTTCACTGGACATCTCACAGATCCACAAATCTAGCCACTTTTTACCTTTTCCTTGGCTTCATCACATACTATAGATGTTACTTTAGCACTTTCTGGAGCAGCTTCATGTACAAATAGGCATATTTCCTCTTTTCTTTCTAGATATACAGTGTTTCTGATTCATTAACATTGAACTCCCAGTCAACAGCACTGCAACTCACACCTGAACGAAGCTCATTTAACACATATTTTTCTCCTTATGGCACATCATGAACTTTTTGCACTTAAAACATTAGATAGCACTTCAGAACTACGCTTGGGGGCCATCACAAACAGCAAAATCACCAACAAAAAGTACAAAAATGAGAAAAACATGGTATTAAGCAGACTGTGAAAAGAACACTTGTTTACAGCACAAGAGCTGAAATGAGAAGGCCCTCATTCAACGGCAGCTAGGAATGCATGCATCAGGTGACTTAGATTTTTTTGCTGCTCTGTGCACATCCACGAATGACCATGAAAGCACAGTGAGTACTGACTTTGGGGTACAAACAAATTTTAGGGAGTAGACGAATTTGCAAATACGGAATCTGCAAATAATGAAGATTGACTGTATATACCTAATTTTAACCCCACCCATAAATTTAATCACACCCCTTGATTTCACCCTGCCTAACCAGGCTCAGACCTACACCGACTCTGTCCACAACCCACCCAGTACCTCTGGTAATAGGTGTCTGAGCGTCCACAGGTGGCACCTGACTTGCGAAAGACCTCACGGCGCTTCCAGCCAGGGCCCAGGGCTGGGCAGTCCAGCCAGTCTTCAGCCATTGGGGCCACGGGAAGCAGCAGCACCCTGCAACGTGGAGGAGGCAATGGGAGAAACCAAGGCTCTAGGAGGGGACCTGTTGTGACCAAGACCACACAAACCACTGTATCTATTAATGCTTGCCCAAGACCTAGGACCTGCCACAGGCAACTGGCCAATATAAGGAAGAGAAAACCCCCGTTCTTCCCTGTCCTGGGCCCAGGAGGTTGTCACTCCTCCCCCTTCCTGACTTGGTAGCCCCATTCTCAATTCAAGGGTCCTCATTCCTCAGTATCCTGATCCCCTATTCCTCCCCATCCTCAGCCTGAGAGCCCATCATTTCTCCCCACTGCCAACCTAGGAACCTTTCATCCTTCCCCCTCATTTCTCCCTGTCCTGGGCCCAGGAGACACTCTGTCTTCTGTCTGTGACCCACTGGTTGCTATTCCTCCTGTCTGTCACCCCGAAACCTCCATACCCGCCATCCTCAGCCTGAGAGGCCTCATTCGTCCCATCCTCAGCTCAAGAGGCCCCCATTCCGCTCGTCCTCAGACTGAGGTCCTAGTACTCTACCTCAGTGTTCTGACCTCCTATTCACTCCCTTCCTTGACCCAGGAGTTCCCAGCTGCTCTCTTTACGTCTTTTAACCCTCCCATTCCTTCCCTATCTGATGTCCTCTTATCCTGCTACCTCAGTGTCACTGCCCCGGTCTCCTCCATGTCCTCTGCCAGAGAGCCCCCAACTCCTCCATATCCTTGACCTGAACAGGCCTTCATTCCTTCTGTTCCTCAGCCTAAAAGCCTCCCCTCCCTTATTTCCCCTCTCTGTCAGTGTTCTGAACCACAATTACTCCCCAGTCTCAGCCCCCAAACCTCCCTATTCCTCTCCTCTGCAGCTGAAAAGTTCCCTCACTCCTTCCCTTCAGCGTCCTCCTCCTCCCTTCCTCTCCTCTGCCTGAGAGACCCTGGCTTCTCCCTCAGCATTCCGAAGCCTCCATTCTTCTCTGTTCCTGCGTCAGGATCATGCCATCCCTAACTGTCAGCGTTCTCACTCCCTATTTCTCCTCGTCTTCCATATGGGTCCCTCCTCCCTCCCTTTCAGCATCGCAACGCCCCCTTTTCTCCCCTTCATTAACCTGAGGGCCCCTCAATTCTCCCCCTCAGCGTCCCGAACCCTCACTTGTCTCTCCTTAACCTGAAAGGCCCCGATGTCTCCCCTCAGCGTTCGAATCCTCCTCCATTGCTCTCCGTCCTCGTCTAGGATCCCGACACTACCAACTGTCAGTGTTCTGAGTGCCATTCCTCCCCGCCCTCCGCCTAAATCTCCCCATTCCTCCCCTTCAATATTCCGACGCCGCCATTCCTCCCACTCATGGGCCTGAGGGCCCTTCATTCCTCTCCGTCAGCGTTCTGAGCCTCAATTCTTCCCCATCCTCCGCCTCAGCGCTCTCCACTTCCACCCCCACGACTGTCTCACCAGTTCGGCACCGGGCCGGTAGCTCCCGCCGCTCTAGGTTCGCGGACCCATGACAACGGTCCCGCCTGTGACTCCCGCCTTGCCCTGCTCCTCTTCTTCCTCCTCCGCAGCCTCTTCCTCAAGCGGTAGCTGTCGCCGCCGCGGCCGTTCGTTGCTCCCGGAACCGGAAATACACTGCCCGCTTCTTGGGCTCCGCCCCCGGCGGGACGCCTGCGCGCTAATACCGCGCCGGCACCAGCCCTTAGTAGGGAGGACCCTGCGCCTGCGTGCTGAGTCCCGCAGCGGCGCGCGTCCCTTGCCGGGGACCTGCTGCGCTTGCTCGCTGACGTCCGACTACTGCTCGCGCCCCTATCGGAGACCTGTAGCGCCTGCGCTCTTCGCTTCGCCAACCGGCGCGTTCTTCCCACCCCGCCCTCCTCGTTTGCGCCTGCGCTCTCCAGTCCCAACCTAAGGGGGCGTGGAGGGTTGGGGTTGGCCGAGCGCGCCTGGTTACTCCTTGGCGGTCTCCACAAGGAGTAACCGGGAGGGAGGGGCGGCGAAGCCCGGGGTTGTGCGGATCCGCCTTCTCCCACCTCACGCCTAGGTCGAGCCTGTGCTCTCCGGTCCCTCCGAACATCTCCCCGAGGCCTATTGTGCCCTGCGCTCTCCTCCTCGCTGAACAGTTGCAGGAGCGCGGAGACAAGTCACGCCGCGCGCTGGCGCCCGCTCCTGCCGCGGGAACCGGGAAGGGGGCGATGCCGCGCTGCAGGTAAACAGAAGGCCAGGTCCATGCAACCGATGAGGCCGGGTCCATCCGGGAAAGGCCGGGCTGTGGGGCCGAGTGGACCCGACAACAAGAGAGGGCGGGGTGGGGTTCCCGGCACAAACTCGGTGGGCTCCTGCCAAAAAGAGGGGTTTGTGGAGAAAGAGGAGGCTTTGTGTCCATCATTGAATACACCTCTGGTCTGGAGAATATTAACGCTCACACAGGAGTGGCAAATCGGCTAGACATTGAATGAATGCTGACTGTATACCCACTGTCTTAAAATGAGACGCTGAGAATGTAGGTCACTGGGCTCTCCCTCAGCAGGTCATATCCCCACAGCCCACGGTGGGGGGGTCTGCAGAGCAGAGTGGGTGCCAGCTGTACACTGCAGCCCCTCCTGAGTACAGGTATGCCACGCCCCATCTACCCCAGAGATTTTGTAACTGAATAAAGTGTGGAGACCATCAGTAGTTATCTTTCTTGATTCTTCAAAATTTTATTAACAAAACCAAGAGAGGGGGAAGGCAAAGGTGAGCAGACTCCACAGTCCCACCCAGGCACAAAGAATGGAGAGACAGAAAACAGACAAAAACAGGAGAAAATTCTGAGACCCTCTGTTAAGGGCAGAGGGGCAAATGGTGGACAGGCACAGGGAGAAACTCAGGGATGACTGGAGAAACAGAAGAATGGCAGAACAGTCAAATGGGGGATTCAGGACAGCTCCCCCGCCTGGAATGCAGGGTGTGAGGACCTCTGGGCCAGTAGGGCTCAGCGGTCGGCACTGGAGCGCAAGTCTGTAGTGAGCGGGTCATGCTGGATCGTTTGGTGCAGCATCAGGGCCAGCAGTCCTGCCCGGTTTGTCATGGCTGTGCGTACATTGCGCTCCTGCTCAAACAGCTCGTCCAGCTTGTACCACTGCCAGGGGAGCAGAAGGCGACATGAGAAGGGGCTCCAGAAGCCCAGCCGGACCCTGGCCACATCCAGCATCAAAACCTACCACACGCACGCGCTCAAGGTCCACTTCAGCACGCCGCAACTTTTCCCAACAGTAATGGCGGTTGCACTGGCGCTTGGGCAGGCGGCAGAAGTCACCTGTGAGCTCAAAGACATCACGTACAAGGGGGCACCCACATACCTCGTCGGCTGGCACCTGCAAGGAGACCAGGGGATGGGGATGAATGTGGGGTGGTCAGGCAGGAAGGAGAACAGGATTGGGAGTAGTCAGGGAGGAAGGAGGGAAGGAATGAGTTCAGGGGAGAGTAGAAAGGAATGGAAAGGGAGAGGACTAGAGGATGAAGGGGCAGGGAAAACAGGAGAACTAGAAGGTGATGACACAGGAAGATGAGGAGGAATGAGGGTGATGAGGCAGGGAAAGTGGGGGATATGGAAGTGGGCGGGTAGAAAAAAGCAAGGGAAGAGGAGAGGAAGGAAGGGCTAAATAAGGGGCAATAGAAGGGAGGAGGGACAGAATGGGGAAGCTGGGGGAAAACCTTACTTTGGGGTCCCGTGAGTGCTCGGGGCATAGCACCTGGAGCCGCTTACAGTATGTCTTGCTCTGAGGATTGTAGACATCACAGAAGAGTCGTGTGGCCCTGGCGGTTTAGAGTTGAGAGAGGGTAATGGAAAGAGAGGAGGGGGGCCCACCTATCCTTGCCCATGCCCATATCCTGCCCCACCATTCTACTCCTGAACCCAGCCTTAACCTCCCTCCTCTAATTCCGCGTGGCGCCCACACTCACCCCTCAATGCGTGTGGGGTACATGGACCCAAAGGACGTCTGGCTCTCATACTGGAGGGATGAGCACAAGTGGAGGGAACTGTGGATGTGTGCTGCATGCCCTCCCAAGACAAGACCCAGAAGACACATCTGACCGCCCATGGGCCCACTGAGGGTCCCCTACCCCTCAGGCTAACACCTGACCTTGGCATAGCAGCGCTCCATGTGGCGCAAGGCAACACGTGGGTTGATGGGATGCCCACAGGAGACGCAAAAGATCTGCAGGTCCGTGTCATCACTGTCACCCTCATTGCTCTGCATGGGGTAGAAGGAACAATGAGGATGGGCAGGACCAGGTGCTGGGCCCTGCACTGCTGTGCCTGTGCTTGCTTACCTCCTCGTCCTCGCGCACAGCCTGCTGCTTGGCACGCAGAATGATGGCCTCAAGCTCATGGAATCGGCGCTCCATTTCCTGAAGGCGGGTTCGGGCACTCTGCTGCTCACGGCGAATGCGTTCAAGCAGCTTCTTGCCGTGCTCCTCAGCAATGCAGGGGCTCTGCTGCCACTGCTGGATGCGCTGGGGGAGGATCTCGTAGATGCGGCTGCAGGGAGGCAGTGGGTTGGGTGTGGGCAGGTGGCAAACAATAAGATGAGTAAGTGGGATAACCCAAGGATGGCAGAATGGATAGGTGACTAAATGGTGAAAGGATAAGTAGATAGCTGACTGAGTGGTAGATGGATGAGCTGAATGGTGGATGGAAGGGTGAACAGATAGATGGATGAGTGAGTGAATGGATAAGTGGGTGCCTAGTTGACTAAATGGGACAGGTGACTGGCAGACATACAGAAGGCTCTGGTCATGCCCTACCCCATACTCCCTGTGTCCCTTGAACCCCCCAGGAATGACTCACTTGGCTGCCAGCTTCATGCCACAGTCGTCTGAACAATACTTGGAGCCGGGCTGGGCAGGGCGCACACAGCCAGGCCCCAGGCACTGCGGTAGCGATGCAGGGTCCTTGGCATCAGCACGCTCCGGGTGTTTCCATTTGTCCTTGTGCTTCTGCTTTTGGCGATGCCGCTTGTATCTCTCCTCTTTCTATGGGACAAGGCAGTTCAGGTCAGGGTGGAGTTGAAGTCTGCCCCAGACCCATCTCCCCCTGCATTGCACCCCTTCCTGGCTCTTGCCGCATGCGGCCCCTAGCCTTTGCCTCTCCCTCCCCACCCTACCCTCTGCCTTCCCACACCCATTTCACCCTCTCCATCACCTTCTTCTCAGACTTCTTCTCCCGACGCTTCACATGCTTCACTTTCACTGCCCTCTTCCGCAGTGCGGGATCCAGGAATGGGGACTCCTCTGTGTCGCTCATCCAGGGCTGCAGGTGAGGCAGACACTGGCCCATCCGTGCCACCCATGACTACCCCACCAACTATTCAGTTCCCAAATCAGCCTTCCACATCCTCTGCCTCCTCTCTTCTCATTATGGATACTCTCTACTTCTGTAACCTCTACCCTTCCACCACGGGACCCTGCCTGCTCACCAGGCCATGGTCATCAAAGGCCCCTGCACAGAAGTCCTGGTATAGGTCAGGGTCCAGTGGTAGGTCTTCATCTGAGAGTGGCTCAGGCGTGGCCGTAGCCTCAGGTGGCTCCTTGACTGCTGCTGATGCCACTGCCCCCTCATCCTCACGGATGCGCCCTGGCTTCTGTGACGGCTGTGGCTGCTGCTGTGTGGGCAGTGGCCGACGAGGCCTTGGCAGGGACTCTGAGGGTGTCACTGGCGAGAGCTGCAGGGCAGAATCTCAGGACTGGCCCTGACTGCCCTGCCCACATGCCCTGCCCCGCTCTGGGAGGCTGGACTCACCGAAGAAGGGAAGTACTTGTACGATTCCTGTGCCGGCAGGAGGAAGGCCCAGGTCAGCCCCAGGTAGATGGAGGGTGGCCCTGCCCTAGCCCCTCCCACAAGTGCTTGGCCCCACCAACTAGCCCTGCCTTGCTTCCCCAGACACACCTGCCCCTTTTCCCCTCATCACCAGGACATGCTCAGCCCTGCCCTCCCTGCCCTGACATGTCTGATCACCTAGAAACATCTGGCCCTATCTTGCCCACCTGGGTTTGGGGGGCTCCCCTGCTGGCCCAGCACACCTGGTCAGGCCCCATTCATCTGGACAGGCCAGGCTCCTTCCCACCTGTCTGTATGCAATTAGGCCCCACCCCACCCGGCCCACCCATTTTAGCTCTTCCTGGACACACTGGCCCCCTCCACCCCACCTGACCCTGCCCAACTCCACCCAGGCTCACCCGGGCCCGTAGCTGGCACTGACGCAGCCGGCACTTCTGCCGGATCTTGTTGGGGCCCCCAAATTTCTTCATGTCCCGGCAGAAGTCGCAGTGGCCACAGTCCTCAGTGCGCCGGCAAGCCTCGCACTCACCACACATGCGGGCTGACCGTTTGATTTGCTGTTGCTGCTGGTGATGCTGGGGGGAGGGACCCAGAACAGAAATCAGGAACTCAAGTAGGACCTAAGGTGGGATCACCTTACCTATCCCAGCCACTGCAGCCACTCACCTGGCTGGGTGTGGCCACCAAGGGCTGTGGAGAGGATTTGTGGGGCGAAGCAGAGCCCCGAGCAAGCATGGCCCCAACCCCTGTCCCTGACCCCGCCCGGCGCTGCAGGTCTGGATCCGGGGCAGGCCTCTTGCGCCCTCCACCCTCATCCCGGGGCTCACTGCCGTCTCGCTCATTGCTGTCCCGCTCGCGTGACTTCTTGTGCCGATAGCGGATCTCCAGCTTGGGGTCTTTCTCTATGGGGCAGAGCGGGGAGCCGGTGGGGTGACATTGGAGGATTTCGATGGTCCCAGAACTCTTCTTCCTCTTCTCTCCTTTTCTGTCCCACCCACCTGCTCTGTCCCCCT